ATATAATCATATTACCAAAGTATAAAATGCAGTGGCTATTAGAGATTGACTAAGCATAAACTTGTTATGGTTGTGCACAGATATGTTAAAATTTCTGTGAATCCTTTGTGTTAAACGAAATTCCACAGTAGTCTTCAATGGTTAGTCATGTAGGGCCCATAGAATCGTTTAACAACACCAATATAAAAATAAGCAAGGCTTTAAGTACCTTTCCTTGTCAATATTGTGACTTTCACCTTTTTATCTCCATTTTATGTACTCAAGTAAGAAGACAAGTGTTATGCGTGTGATACTTATACAAAATGATTCTCAACAACCATCATGATTTAAATGGTAGAATTCCACTGCAATCCTTGTTTGTGCATCCCAAATCTGAATGCGAAGTTCTCTAAATCAGTGTTTCTCAACCTTTTTTTATAAACTACCCCTTTAAAAAAAAATATAAGTACCCCCAGTACCTACATTTTTCAGACACATACATTTTTTTTCTACCATTGCAGCACATTTGTTTAAATAACTAAATCGTAGCAGGGCGGGTGATGAAATTTTTGGGTGTAGAAAGTACAAAAATAATAATGCGCTGTAAAACTTAAAACAAATTCAGTTTTCTCCAAATTTCAGTTATGTTGCTGTACCCTTCGGACTTCCCTCGTGTACCCCTAAGGGTACTCGTACTGCTGGTTGAGAAAACATTGCTCTAAATCTTTTTATTTTCCAGTACAATAAAATTTCGTACCTACAGTAGTTTTTTTTCCCCATTAGACACTCAAGAAAGCTACATTTCATTTTTCTTAACAAAAGGGTAGCACTTTAAGGTTTAAAGTTACTAAATTCCAGAATTAAAGTGTTAAAGTTAATTAACGTATATTCATATTAATAGACTTGATCTGATATCACTCAGCTAGTGAAATAGTTTATCTTCTTTACACTGTAAAGTCAGTTTATTTATGTTAACTTGGAGTACTTGCCACACTGAAATGTGAATCCTTTTGGTTAATAAACTGAGATGATTTAAAAAACATATTTAAAATACATGTATTATTCTTTTGGAAACTGCTGCTTGGAAGTGCAAGAGAGTGAGGTTCTCGTGGGTGTTGGAATCACTTGCTCACTCACTGTACAAGTTTAGAACCAGTGTTGAAATCCTGCCATCCTTGTTCATGTAAGCAGTCCCAGGGTATGTCTACACTATAGTTGGAGAACTGCAGCTGGCCCAGGCCAGCTAGCTTAGGCTGGTGGATCTCTTGCAAAGGGGCTGTTTATCTGTGGTGTACATGTTCAGGTTCAGACTAACCAGAACTACTAGATCCAGTATCATCATGTAGACCATCAAATAAAAGTTTAAAGAGATTGGTAAATACACTATATACAGAGTAGAGAGAAATTATTTAGGGCTAATATTTATTTTACATTTATTACTGTAAAATCTGAAGTGTGATATTCTGACCACTCCATCGTATTTTCAGGTAAAGCAAGATTTAAATCCTTAAGGTGTTTGTTTTTTTTCTTTGAAAATTATCATTCCCATGCTTACATTTCTGCATGACTGAACATTTACAGATCTCTCCTTTTAAAAATAAAATTCTTACAACACTTAGATTTCAGACTTCATAATTATCATGCTTCATTAGCTCTCCCAAATAGACTCATTTTAAAAATCAGTCTTCTAAAAAACAAAAATGTTAGTTATATTGTTTGATGTCTATCTTCTCTCAAATGTAGCTAATGGAGAAAATATCCCTTGCAGGATAAAGGTTCTCCCACATTTCAGCTATTTAAATAATTCACTGTTTCACTGGCTGAGCTTGTCTTCTCAGTATCTCCTAACTTAAAGTCTTCAGGATGATATTGATGTTCTTCTGCCAACTTCCTAATGGCTTTAGAAGATATGTGCACCACCAGGTGTTCTCCTGGACTTTCTGCACACTTTGGGAAAAATCTCTTGCCAAGTGCTCCTTCATCCAATGCCCTTTAATCTCCAGCACCCATCTCCCAGAGTATCTTCTACCATATTTACATGTTCCTGGCTGTAAATTAAGGCCCTCTTCCCCCCTCCCCCAGGAAAGCATTTAAGCAACTAGTTAGCTCAATATTCAAACCCCAAGCATTTAAAAATCATGCATCAGGACTCCCAAAATCAATAGATTAGTTGAAAATGATGTAGTTTTTAATATAAAATACAGAATTGGGTTTTTTTTGGTTTTTAAGTTTAAGGTGGGCTATTCTTTCAAACTTTTGTCAGGAGGTATGAGGACTAGAAATTTAATTTCAGCTTTCATTTAGAAAAGTCACACCAAATACCTCCAGAGGCTGTGGGTTTGTAAAATATATATGTATGAGCGCGAGAGAGCTATTGTTACTATTTTCTAATCTTTGATGGATGTGCTCAGGATGAGATGAGCTATGAGACTTGATAGATTTTTAGGATTTTTTTTTTTTTTTTTTTTACACTGGGGTTTTAGGTATTTAGGTCTGCTAGATAGGGTGGTGTTTTTTTTTGTTTTTTTTTTTTTTCAATCCTGCCACATGCAGCTGAGCAGAGTTACATCAGTGTGAATGTTGATGGAACTCAACTGCAGGATAACAATTTTTGAGACCACGGGCTCCCATATACTATAACTCCCTATATTTCAGAAGCTCAGCATCTTTCACTTTTACACATTCTGGGCATCAAATCCTTAGGAATATAAACTATTTGACATACTATATACAAGAAAAATAATTACAAACAGAATAATTTTAACCCTTGTTCTTTGGTATCTGCCCTTTCTGTTTCTAGGTGTCCCAATGCCATCTCAAGAATTACAGACAGAACAAGATTCGCAGCTGTGGCATGAAGTAAGCAGCAATATCTTCAAGTGCTGGCTCAACCATGTGTTTCAATAATATGCTATTAGTGTTTGACTGTTGTGGATGATTTATTGTATAAGGGGCAGGTGTAGATGATCACAACACCACTGATGCATTATCACAAAGCCTATCCACACACAGCTATATACTCCATATGATCCTTATTACATGGCAGGAGTTTGAGAGCTGCCATTGTTTCTTGACATCCTCAATTAGAGAGATGGTTTTTTTTGTTGTTTTTTTGGGCATTCCACATCCTTTGCACAAGTATTCCCCCACAGAAGAAAACACTGAATTACACAAACTAATCAAGCCATCTCTGATCATAAGCAGTGTAGATTCAGATTGGAGATCACAGAAAAGAGTTCTTTCTGCTGCTCCCACATGTAACCATCTTATATTTTAAATAGTCCTGACATACAGGAGGAGTCTTTCCTCTTTTCATTTTGACCTTGCCTACATAAATTGTATACTTCTATATTATTCTGGGGATGGGATGTAACCACTTTTTTCAGATTGCTGAATATTAAACATTTCATCTAATACAAATATCAGAGTAATCATTAGGCAGGGAGTCGAAGTCATTAGAGCAAGGAGAAAATTGTGTTGGCTCATGCAGAAGTAGACTTAGTATGCCTAATCATTGCTAGTTAAATGAAAGCTCATATCTATGGGCCCCATAGAAAATATGTATAATTGTAATGTAGAATAAACAGTGTAGTTTTTGTTACAGGAAAAGAAGTTAAGTCTGTAAGAACGGTACACCGTACAAAAACATTTAATCAGTCTTATATTTTGGTTCACTTAATATTGGATTATGTACTGCTTCAATTATATATTTTGGGTGCTGACTGATGTTACAGTATGTTGTATTCTTAATTCTGGACATTTTGATTTATGTACATGTATTTTGATTACAATATGTGACTTGGATGTTAGGCGGCCTGAGAGTATTGTCCTCTGCTCTGTAATATGGACAGAGCATTGTCATATAACATTTGGAATATTATTACATTTGTCACCTTTGTAAGGTGCTATGTAATATTAAAAAACAAAAGCCTTATCATAGGAAGAAGATGTATTATATACATGTAGTAAACTTACTGTTCAAGATGTTTCTTCTAAAATGATGCTCATAGTACAGAGCTAATAATACAACAGCAGCCATATACTTTCTTGCAGACTTAAACCTAAAGAAAAATGCAAGATTTGTCTAATAAATTAATAAATGTAGGCTCTGTTGGTCTAAGGGGCTGGGGCGAGAGAGTTCTAGTCACAGGCCCCTTGCCTTCCTGCCAGCCTCTGCTCTCTTTTAAATCCAGGAATCTTCTAGTAAACACTTGTACAGATTACAACCATTGTGATATTGATCATATGAGCTGATGGGCAATCTCTCAGGAAAATGAGTCTCAAACCACATAGGGGTTTATATGAAAAAAACATTTAGAAGACATTATTTTATATATCCTTGGAATTGTAACAAAAGACCTGCGTCTAGTCTCAGGGAAGACAAAAGCAAAATTTCCATTGCCCTCAATGGATTCAGAATCAGTCCATAATATAACAAAATCAATTACAAGCTGTGTTTTACACCAAAATTAATGTGGGATTGAATTATATATGGCAAAACTGCAACTAATAAAAGATATCTCCTGGTGGTAGGATTCTTCAAATCACAGTTGTTGTCCTGGTTATGAGAATAACACATCTTCTGCTGCTGGAAGGGATTGTCCTGGGTGGGAATCAGGCTCAAGGCTTAGAATCCCAAAATGTGTTTTGTTTTTTTGTTTTTTTTTTAACTGGTCTGTTTTAGCCACGTTAATTCCAATTAGCTGAAAATTCCAGTTTTCTGAAGCCACATTGGGTATGTCTAGACTACATGCCTCTTCCGACTGAGACATGTAAAATAGGCTACCCGACATAGTCAATGAAGCGGGGAGGGTGGCTGCATTAAAAAAAAAAAAAAAGGCCACCATGCTATGCCGGCTCAGCTGATCGTCCGCCTAGTGCGAGAGTCAAGACACGGCTCAGTCGACAAGGGAAGCCTTTGTCGACTGCTCCTGTAAACCTCATTTCCCGTAACTTCTGCTAGCCTTGACTGTTGGCAGAGGCATGTAGTCTAGACATACTGCCAGTGTCCACCCATGTAACCCTATATTAATCACCAGATAATAAGGTCTCAATGCTAATCAATAGCTTTTATATATGTATAGTGTTTCTGAGCAATTGAGGAGCAATAGCATATTGGTAGGACAATGTCAAAAATAAAAAAAGATCTGCTGGATCTAAAAGATCATTCTTAAGCAAACAGCACGTTAATGCCTTCATTCTCCATATGTGTGTGTCGTCATAACTGCAACTCAAAATTGTGCTTCCAATGTGGATGTGCCCCAGACCATTTGGATAAAGAGAGTATACTGTATTCTCGAACTTTCTTTACTGAAAATTTTAATAACTTAATTTATATGCTTTTTAGTCCCCTATTTCCCTTTCCTTACTCTCCACTGGATTACTAGAGAACTGATCAATAAGTGTCTGTTACTGTCACTGGTGTTGTATGAATAGCAGGTGGTACTCGGTTTGTAATCAGTTACACCTCCTGCAGTGCTCTTTGGTCTGAATTCAGCTTCCTTGCAATGTATCTCTCATTGGCATTCTGATTTCCATATTATATAGCATCCCCTGTGAGGCATTGAGTCTTGTCAGTGTCAGCTGAGATCAGTGGAGTCATTGAGCATGGAGGGTGGCATATATACCATAGTTCCAGTGAGATACACATATTGTAAATCCCCAGGAAAACTGAAATTCAGTTTGAAAGGCACAGTTGTGGAGCTAACATTGTGTATTTCCTGCATGGCATTATTATTTTATTTATAGACTTGAATTCCAAAATTTTCCAGCTACTTCGGAGGCGATATCACAACCCCTACCCAGAAAGTTAATTCATTTTTAAGATATGACTGTCAGTGAGGTGAGAAACAGTAGGATGTAGAAAAAGAGAGAAGAAATATGACTATGTGGTTACTGACATTGGTCATGTACATATCTTAGTTTTTCAGTCAAAGTTTTTAATTCAGTAAAAATATATTTACATGCAGGGAATATAATAAAGAAAATAACCCAGGTTTGTGCCTCAGCGTGCATGCAAAGCATATACAAACCATATTTTAATAAACCCATCACATCTTTTGCTATACTGAACACTTTGAAAACATGTATATTTTGTCTGTTCACTGTCTGACTTTCTAAGATGCAATGCCAATTTTTACAGATAGACGATGCATGTTCTGCTTACCTGTCCATCATAGATCCTCACCCTGAGGTGAGTCTAGTTAGAAAGATATTGTTTTAATTATATATTGTTTTTCAAGTGCCATTAAATAAGAAATCTGTTATCTGTTTTCATGTTTCCTTTTCAATAGGCATCCAATGCACTGGAAGAACTTTGCTTTATGGTCATGGGATTTCTACAGAAACCTCAGGTAGTGCAAATTCAAAACTATTTTACATTTTGAAGCGTGGTTTTCAGTATACAGTAAAACTCCAATAGTCCGGCATCCAATAGTCCGGCACTCCTGATAGTCCGGCATCAAAATGGCAAGAGCTTAGTGAGTGAGCTTTGGCAAAAAATGATTCACAAGGTAACAGCGGCAGCAGCTGAACTGAGCAAAAAGGGTAAAAAGGCTTAAAAAAACTAAAACATTACAGTATACTGTATACAGTATGTACAATAAAAAGGGTTAAGAACACTTTATATACAGTATATAATGTATACAGTATATATATAATCAGCTTATAGTACCTCCTGATAGTCCGGCATATTTGATAATCCGGCACCACCTAGGTCCCATAGGTTCCAGATTATTGGAAGTCTACTGTACTAACTTCCTGAAACTTTAGAATAAATTGAGGATCCATGCAAGCAATAACAACCTCCAGCTTTCTGAGTTGAGCAGTCCTTGGATAGTTATGGATATTAGCTTGCCACAGCCTTCAGTTCCATAGGCTGTGTCTACACTGGCCACATAATCCGTAATAGCTATGGAAATGAGAGAAGTCAGAATAGGGAAATGCGCGGGGGATTTAAATATCCCCCGCGGGATTTAAATAAACAGGGCCTCCGCTTTTTTCCTGCTTGGGGAAAAGCCGGAAAAGAGCATCCAGACAAGTAGGAATAAGAGATCCTCCGGAATAGGGCTTTATTCCGGAGGATCGCGCCAGTCTGGACGCTCTTTTCCGGCTTTTCCCCAAGCCGGAAAAAAGCGGCGGCCCTGTATATTTAAATCCCGCGGGGGATATTTAAATCCCCCGCGCATTTCCCTATTCTGACTTCTCTCATTTCCATAGCTATTATGGGTTATGTGGCCAGTGTAGACACAGCCTATAGTGTGTAGCTTTGCTGCTGCTCAAGGAGGAATAGTATAAATCCATACCTCCCTCACTCTGCAGTGCCTTGTGAGGATGCAAATCCCACTGAATGCATCTGAAAGACTTACTTTGATTGGTTATGGACCAATGTTTGGGAAGCTATCTGTCTTTCGCACTCTGGTTATACAAGCTGTGGAGTCTTTGTAGCTCTAGGGTTAGAATAACCACACTTTCTTCTTCAAGTGGTCCCCATGGGTGCTCTACTCATATTGTCAGGCTCGTCCTGGCGCCGCAGCTCGGAGGCTTTGCATAGCTGTATTCAGCTGGGATGCGCATGCGTGGTGTGCAGCATGTGCTGTTCGTGCCTTTGAGCTTCGCATGCACCTGGCTTACCTGTCAGTTCCTATCAACTGTCCCTGGCCATAGAGGGAGCTTCGATTCTCTCATCCCTTCAGCAATTCTCCTTCTCCTCAGGGGATCTTTTTAGTTAATTGAAAATAGTAATAGAGATGTAGCCCTGTTAGTCTGGTCTTGCTCAATCAAAAGACAGGACTGTGCAGCACTTTAAAGACTAACAAGATGGCTTATTAGGGGATGAGCTTTCCTGGGCCAGACCCACTTTCTCAGATCAAAATTGTAAATAGCCTTTTCCCTCACTGTTCTTCTCTTATCTTAAAAAAGAAAAAGAAAAAGAATAATAAGAAGAAAAGAGACTTGTTAGCACTTCATTGAAGCCTCAGCTTCCCCAGCTTCCTGCTGTCACTGACTAAGCTTAGCCTTGGGGAATTTAACAGAAAAACTTGAACCCAGTCATGCCTGGATCTCCAGGTTTTAAAAAGTGTGCCCTATGCAGTGAGCCCATGCCAGCTTCTGATGGGCATTCAGCGTGTATATGCTGTTTAGGGAAAAACCGTGTTCCCCAAAAATGCGGGCACTGCTCAAAAATGACAGCCCGTACTCGCTGGGACAGGGAAATGTGCCTCAAGATGCTCCTTCTGGACAAGGCGCTGGACCCCAATACTTTGAATGCTGGACAACTTGGGGAGACCCAAAAGAGAAGGGTCTCTTCCTCCAAACCGCTGGCAGATAAAAGAAAAAAGATCTCCCCTGCCAGATTGCTCCCACCTGAGAGGATGGCGAGAGATAAGCCAGGGTCCTCTGGCTCTGTCCCGCAACCCTCAGTACCTGGGTTGGGGACAAAAATGAAGAAGGCTGCGGCGTCCGAAAGAGCCTCTTCGGCGCCGAAAGCAGCCTCAGTGCCAACAAGCAGCGCCCACACTACAAGGGCGCTGGCACTGCTCCGTTCAGCTCCACAACCAGCGCCGGAGCAGCAGCTACCTGTGCAGACTGCAGTGGCACCGGAGGGAACTCTCCCGGCACTGGCAACACAGCAAGCACCGTTGCCGGCGCTGTGTTGTACTCCCATGTTACGAACAGCCCCGGCACTGGCAAATACAGGGTTCTTCAACTCACTCAAATACCGGCACCGGAGCAGGAGCTGGAGCCGGAGCCGGAGTCGGAGCCAGCATTGATACAAGCAGAGCCCCCCGTGAAGGCATCTGTTAAAACGCAGAGACAGGGGACCCCCCACTTCCCTTCTCCACGATTTTCACCAGGTCCTTCCCCTTCTCCTCCAATGTATGTGTCACCTCTGCACCATACCTACCAGCACCACAGCCCAAGACAGCAGACCTATCACAGACGCTATTCCCCATATGGGCACCCATGCTACAGCGACTACTACAGTCACCGATCCTACTCTCCACCACGCTATCACTATTAGGCCATATAGATGGTCACCACACTATCACTATTCTCCGTGTGCCAGCTACAAGAGACGACATACCAGTTGTACGTCATCCAGGTGTTCGTTGCCTCACCTATTGGATCGATATTACGATCATCACCATGATTCTCCGTACTCATTGCATTTACACTCCCATCACCAACAACCCTCACATGACAACCCATCGACAGCAGGGCACTCTTCGCCACAGCAGCACCATAGTCATCGAACTTTCTGGGTGTCTGGCTGGTGAGTCTTGCCCACATGCTCAGGGTTTAGCTGATCGCCATATTTGGGGTCGGGAAGGAATTTTCCTCCAGGGTAGATTGGCAGAGACCCTGGAGGTTTTTCGCCTTCCTCTGTAGCATGGGACACAGATCACAGCTGGAGGATTCTCTGCATCTTGGGGCCTTCAAAGTATTTGAAAGCTGCAATATCTGAGACATAGGTGAGAGGATTATTCTAAGAGGGGTGGGTGAGATTCTGTGGCCTGCACTGAGCAGGGGTTCAGACTAGATGATCATAATGGTCCCTTCTGACCTTAAAGTCTTTGAGTCACCTGACTTCTCCAAGACGTAGCCTGGGTGTCACAACACAACAGTCAGACTTGGAAGATGGACAGTTGTCAGAAGCAGAGGACCAGAAGACTGAAAATATAATTCCTGACCGTTCATCCTCTTCACCAGATGAAGCGGTTTTCCCAGTGGACACGTCTCCGCTAGACGACTTCAAACAGTTCCAGGACCTCTTCAAGTGTGTGGCCCAGTCCCAGGAAATCTAGCTAACAGAAGCACAAACGAAACAGCATCGACTGCTGAAAAATTTGCACCCAAGGCAGAGTGCGAAAGCTGCCATCCCTATCGATGAAGCCATTATGGAAGTGGCAGACATCATCTGGCAGACACCAGCTTCAGTGCCACCAACCTACAGGAGAGTGGACAAGAAATATTTTGTCCCTTCCAAGAATCTAGAATTCCTTTTTAACCACCCACCGCCGAATTCGCTGGTGGTAGACTCAGCACAACAGTCAACCTTGCTCCTACGTATTTCTAGTTATGCCACCTTGTTATCGAATCACAACTTTGACAATTATGAAAAGATAGCATAGCTTCTTCAATACCTGCCAGAAAGCAAGCGCCCCCTCTTAAAGTCCCTAGTGCAGGAGGGTTTTGCGGCGGCAAGAGCGAGTTTGCTAATCTCACTGGATGTGGCGGACACAGCAGCCTGCGCAACTGCAATAGTGATGAGATGCTCATCTTGGCTTACTTCCGCAGCAGTTCCAAAGGAGCTTCACGCAAAAGTGGAAGACCTCCCTTTCGACAAAAACAAGTTGTTCGCAAAAAAGATGGATGAGGTCCTCCACTCCGGAAAAGATTCCCAATCTACGCTCCGCACCCTGGGGATGTATACACCCCCGTTTCGACACAAGAGATACTACCCATACCAGAGGAGGTACAACTACTCCTATGAAAGACAACACAGCAGCAGAGACCCATAGACCAATCGCGTGCAAGACAATGACCGCAATGTAGATGACCTCAACCATCCCGTATGGGCAATCAACAAAATTCCAAGCAGCAAGTTTAATGGTTTGGTCCAGGGCATGCAACAAGTCCTTATGGTGACGGAACAACAAGTCACTCACCTTTTCCACCATCAGCTTTGACCTTTTCAAGATCTATGGGCAGCGATTACATCAGACAGCTGGGGTATTAAAACTTGTGGTATCCTAGCTCACCATCCCCTTCACCACCATACCACCCGCAAATCCACCAACCCCATCCCACTTCAGGGACCCATCTCACGAGACCCTGCGTCTGCTCTGCATAGGAGTCATAGAGCCCGTTCCTCTTCAGTTCAGAGGAAGGGGATTCTATTCACGGTATTTTCTCACAGAGAAAAAGACCGACGGATGGAGGCCTATCCTCGACCTCAGGAAGCTGAACAAATACCTCCGCTGTCAAAGGTTCGAGATGGTGACCCTTTCCAAAATAATACCGTCACTAGAGAAAGACGATTGGTTTGCAGCCCTCAACTTGTAAGATACATACTTTCACATAGCAGTACATCCCAGCTCACAGACATTTTCTCAGTTTCACCATCGGAAATGATAATTTCCAATACTGAGTGCTACTATTTGGACTCGCATCGGCTCCCAGGGTGTCTTCAAATACCCTGGTGGTAGTAGCTGCTCACCTACGGCGCAGGGACGAGATCATATTTCCGTATCTAGATGATTGCCTTATAAAAGGCAGGTTGAGACTAGGTACTGCACATGCTTGCAGTAACCAGGCAAACATTTCTATCGCTTGGGCTCATAATCAACGAGCAGAAGTCGTCTCCAGATCCTGTGCAGAGTATAAATTGCATAGGTGCACGTCTAGATTCCACCACGGCCCGTGTGTACTTACCTCGAGCGCTTTCAAATTATACACGAGATGGCCACGGTAGTCATCCACATAAGTCACCGTACTTACCTGTCTCTGCCTCATGGGGCATATGGTGGCCACCACCTTCGTAGTTCAACATGCGAGACTTCACTTTCGCTGTCTACAGCACTGGCTGGCATCGGTGCATACTCCAACGAAACACTCCACACACAAGGTGATAATCCCAACTGCTTTAGTCCGCAGATCCCTGGGTTGGTGGTTGAACCCCAAAAATCTGCTAGTAGGGGTCCCATTCAAATGCCAAAAGCCATTGGCCCAGCTGACTACAGACGCCTCCCTTTTGGGTTGGGGGGCACACATCAATGGCATGTCCATGCAAGGCAGATGGTCTGCTGCGGAGGCAGTTTCCCATATCAACCTCCTAGAACTAAAAGCGGTATTCCTCGCATGCAAGCATTTTCACCCGTACATTATTGGTATGACCAGCCGCGTGCTTACGGACAACATAGCAACTATGTATTATATCAATCGACAAGGAGGAGCACGATCCCAGCTACTCTGCCCACAAGCAGTCCGCTTATAGAACTGATACGTATGAAACTGCATCACTCTGGTAGTGTCCTACTTACCAGGCACAAGCAATGTCATGGCGGATGCTCTCAGCAGATTTTTTCCCTCAAGATCATGAGTGGGAAATCCGCCCCAATGTCCTGGACAACATCTTCCGAGCTTGGGGATCGCCGCAAATAGACATCTTCGCGACCTACGGTAACAAGAAATGTCACCTTTACTGCTCCAGAGGAGGCAAGGGCAAAGGCTCTCTTGGAGATGCATTGTTAATCCATTAGGAAGACCTCTTCTCTATGCGTTCCCACCAAAAGTACTTATTTCAAGAGTAATCCAGAAAATCAGAGGACTCAGCTCAGGTCATACTACTAGCACCAGCCTGGACAAGACAACCGTGGTATCCATTCCTTCATAGGATGTCCCTTGCCACGCCTCCCAGACTTTTTCTCTCAAAACCAGGGGTCCCTGCTACACCCCAGACCAGAGACCCTCCACCTGACAGCGTGGCTTCTATCTGGTTCGGACTAGAAGAGCAACTTTGTTCAGAGGCAGTGAAGACAGTAATGTTGAACAGTAGAAGAAAAACTATAAGAAGGACTTACCTGGCAAAATGGACAAGATTTGTGGCTTGGTGTGAGAAAAGTGACATCGAACCACACTCGGCACAATGCATAAAATTCTTAATTATATCCTTTCCGTACACCAAGCAGGTCTTTCGATCTCTACTCTGAGAGTTCACCTATCAGCAATCACCACCTTCCATGCCACCGTCGAAGGTCATTCCATCTTTGCTCATCTCATGACCATAAAAGTCTCTTAAAGGAATAGCAAGCCTCGAACCATCGCAAAGACCCGTGCCCCCCGCTTGGAGCTTGGATTTGGTCCTCGACACGTTAATGTACCCACCCTTCGAGCCACTAGCCACCACGTCGTTATCTATGCTCAACATGAAAGTGGTATTCTTATTGGCAATTACATCTGCCTGTAGAGTTAGCAAACTGGCAGCAATAATGGCAATGCCACCCTTCACGGTTTTCAACAAGGACTCAGTCACGTTGCATACCCATCCAGCCTTTATCCCTAAAGTCGCGACACAGCTTCATGTCAACGAACCCGTCATTTTACCCATCTCTTACCCGAAGCCACATGTCTCTACTCGAGACTCACCCCCCCCCCCCCCGGCCCCCCCAGCCACTCCCTAGACAGAACACGGACCTGGCGCAAGACCAACCGCCTAATAATATCCATAGCGGACTGCTCCAAGGGCAATCCATTGTCTTCCCAGTGTCTGTCCAACATCATAATCTCTTGCATCACCACGTGTCACTCGATCCACAAAAAGCCCCTTCAGACTGTACCTAGGGCGCACTCCACCAGGGCAGTGACAACATCCACGGCATTTGTCAGAGGAGTCTTACTGCCGAAAATCTGCAGGGCAGCCACATGGTCGTCAAGCTTGACTTTTATGAACCACTGCGCAATAGTGCGGTGGTGTATGCCCGAGTTCTCGGTGAACACTTGAACTCCAGGAATGCAACGCGAGAACTGCTACAAAGGCACCGTGAGTGGAGCACCCACAGGGACCTTTTGAAGAAGAAGAAGTTACTGACCTTTGTGCAGTAATGATGGTTCTTTGAGATGGGTCCTCGTGGGTGCTCCACATCCCACCCTTCCTCCCTGTTTCAGAGCTGTTTCTTTTTGTATCCTTACAGATACCAAACGGTGAGAGGAACTGACAGATAAGCTGGGTGCATGTGAAGCTCAAAGGCGTGAACGGCGCGTGCTGCACACCACACATGCACAACCCGGCTGAATATAGCTATTCAAAGCCTCTGAGCTATGGCACCGGGATGAGCCTGACACCATGAGTGGAGCACCCATGGGGACCCATCTCGAAGAACCATCGTTACTGCATGAAGGTGAGTAACTTCTTCATCTCCAGTGCAGAAATGAGCCAGTTTCTTTGTTAGTTACCTGGGAGGGGAATCTCCTGTCCTCCCCTCATTGATAGTTTAGTTTTAGTGGGGAATGAGCTCACACCTTGCTGGATCCTTTACATATATTGATGTCAAAGCAATGAAGTTCTTCTAGTCTGAATAGTGGAAAGAAGAAAGTAGTGATTTCAAAGAAGCATTTTTCATGTTTAAAAAGGACATGTTTAGTCAAGTTTTCTGGTGGAAAGCAAATCAGTACACAGTACAGGTTTTGAAAGCAACAGTTAACTTGACAGCCAAATAAATATAATGTTGTCAAAAGAGTACAATGTTCCAAGAAAGTAGAAAGATATTTAATGTTACTAAAACTGACCTTGGCTTGTTTTAGAAATTAAAGCTTTATATGCCAATTATTGTTCCCTCAGAATTTAGAAGAAAAAGACAACACCAAAAGGGTAAGGTTGTCATACATATTTGGGTCACACTTATTTTGTCAAGAAAACCATAACCCATTAACCTGTCTTGTAGTAAAATCCCACTTCTAATTTTTTTCAAACAGTTCTTATTTCATTATGCTAAGTCTCATGACTCAGGCAATTCAGACATGATGGTAAGTTTCATCACTCCTACTTGTTAATAAATGTATGCTTGTACTTAAAAGCAAGAGAATGGAATGTCCAAGGAATGGTGTCTGTGTCTGAACATTGTAACTGCAAAATCTAGGAAAGATGCCACAAGACACATGTTTAGCCTAGAAAAATATATTCATGTTCCTTTCTGGTATTTTATAAACAGCATATCTAACATAATTACATGTTGAAATTAAGATTTCCTATGCCTGATCCTCAGCTATTTGATTGGTGTTGTCCCAACAAAGTCAATGGAGCTATGATTTATACTAGTTGAGGGGCTCTCCTTAAATGTTGAAAACTATTAAATATTTTATTAAAAAAAATAAGATGCTTATTAAGATTTTTGATTGCATAGTAAACAAAAAATAGAATGAATCAAATATTCTAATGTTCTGATATTAGAAATAACTCTTCATTCAACAAATAGATTACATTTTGATCAGCTCTTGTTTTTAAAATGCAGACATAACATGGGTATTTGTTTTCTGTGTGCAACAATGCTTTTTCATTGTGCGTTACTGAGTTTTGGGAGTGCAACTTTTCACTTTTTGGAAATCATTCTGTCGTGTTTATGTTCATTGTTGTCTCGCTTTATGTTTCTATTGGGAATAAACTGCATTGTGGCTAGAATTTAGAACAAGTTATTTTCTAAACCTCCAGTGAATGAGTGTTAAAACTATAGCCAGAATGTTTTCTGAATCCCACTTGATTATCATACATTGATTCAAGGCACTTTTGCTGATAGCACTTTACTAGCTGCTTTGGGACTTCAGCAGCACATGCTTAGGCTTGATTTTTTTTTAATACTGCATGAAATGCTATTTTCTCTAAGTACCTGCTCTCTTTATGTACCCTACAAATGTAAGAAAATGACAGTGTCGTTTTGCCTATTAAATATGCCATAACTTTAATTACAATAGCAATGTAATCAATCACCTTTTTGTTGCATATTGTATAAAAGTAATTATTATATCAGATATGTACCGTTTTTCATGTTGTCTGTTTAAACAAGGATAGAAATTTGGACTTAAAAATTAGTTGAATGAATACAGGTAATTATAATTTGAATTATTTCTGGGAACAGCAAACTCCTTATGGAAGAAATACGTTGAGCGTTGATCTCTAAGGGTTTGATCCTTTGATTCACTGAATGGGGCCCACTATTGTACCCTCATGGAGCCCATTGAGGGTACGTCTACACTGCGGAGCTATTTCAGGATACCAAAAGTATCCCAAAAGAACTATTCCACATCTTTTGATCCAGTCCATTATTTTGAAATAGATTTTGAAATAATGGGAGGCTTATTCTGACATACTGGTAACCCTTGTTCCATGAGGGTTAAAGGGAATTTCAGAATAACATGTTATTTCAAAATTTGGCACTGTGTAGATAGCACCAAATTACGAAATAAGCTATTTCGAGCTAAGGTTACTGTCTAAATGTACCCTGAGTTCATTAGGGCTCTGTGCAAGCACGTCAAAGTGTCTGAGCATATGAATTACATATTATGGACCTTAGATTGTCTCTCATGAGAGACAATGACCTACATCATATTTGCTGATTTTTACTTCAAATCCTCATAGGAACATTATTAGAAATTACTTTTTAATAGAAAATCACTTTTACCAAGCTAACATTACCAACCTAACATTCAGTGAAGGTTCCAACAACTCTCTGTGTGGATTCTTGTGTTAGTTCCCTTTGATCCTTATCTACTTCCTTTTAACTATCCAATCTTCAGGAGCTTATAGACACCAGCTCTGCCTACTTGTTTTTCCCTTTGATATTTTCCTTCCCTCTGCTCCTTGTTTCCCGCCCCCCCCATTCTTTCTTCCCTATTTATTTTGGGTCTGCACATCCTACACTCATAACTCCGGTCATCTGAAGAAGTGGGCTGTGCCCACGAAAGCTCATGATACCGTCTACATGTTTTGTTAGTCTATAAAGTGCTAGCAGACCTTTTGTTGTTTTTACTTTTATTCTTGTGATTCACACTATTTTAAACATAATAACTTTTGAGAGTGCCAGAAAATTTTGAAGTTGTCTATGAGATTCTTAGGAACAGTAGTAATCAGAAACTTAGAATAAAAGCTTCCCAAAAATGTTCTCTGCATATTCAAATCACAGAGCTAGCAGTGCACTCTCATAAGCTGATCAAAGTCAGAATTGGGACTTGCCCCTGACATAACAATATACAAACTATAACCTATAATGAACACAGTTGAGAAGGTTCTCTTCATTTCACTGCTCTTGTAGGTGCATTCACGGACTAAATAAAAAGCTGTACCTTTCAGGTATAAATTCAGAATACCCAAAAAGTTAACATTCAATTAACATCTTCAGTCCATTGTTTTGCATGTTCTGACCATAAACCAATGGTATTTTAAGAGACATTCTTTGCATCACAAGACCAGGATATCATTGTTGTTCATATGTCTGTGTTCATGTCCTCTCAGTCGTCTGTCCTGCATCCTTTGCTGCAACTTGTTCCCCAACTTCATGAGAGAAGACTGAAGAGATACAAAGCAGACGTATGTAATTTTAAACTATGTATGAATGTTCTGACCATAAACCAATGGTATTTTAAGAGACATTCTTTGCATCACAAGACCAGGATATCATTGTTGTTCATATGTCTGTGTTCATGTCCTCTCAGTCGTCTGTCCTGCATCCTTTGCTGCAACTTGTTCCCCAACTTCATGAGAGAAGACTGAAGAGATACAAAGCAGACGTATGTAATTTTAAACTATGTATGATTGCT